GGGGGGGGGGGGTGGCACAAATTTACTGAAGAACACAAAGGAAATTTCTAGAGAAAAAAGAAATGTTTTTAAACTTTTTTTAAGTTTTATTTATTTATTTTTTAAAGAGAGAGAGACAGAGAGAGATTACTAAGTAGCCAGGGTATTAGATGGTACAGAGAATATGCCAATGGGGAAGAACATGAGCCTGGGAGACATGGCCTGATTTTTCTACATATACTTCTGCAGAAATCAGGGCCCTAAAAGGTGTTGAAAGTCATCAGTCCTTTGGCCTTCTGACTCCAGCTGTTTGTCTTTCAAGAACATCTGTCTCATTGTACACGACTCTTTTCTATAGCTGGCTCCCCAAGATCTGCTTTCAAGTCTGGTTCCTGGTACCCAGTCCCAAAATTTTAAGACCATGAAGGCACATAAGTAGTCAAGGCAGTGTTGGATGCATAGTGATAGCACAGTCAGATATGCCTCCTGCCCCATAGAAGCACTAGAAAGGAATTAGGGCCTCTCACATGGTAAATTCTGGAAAACTGTGGCTTTCTCCCTAGAACTGAGTTGCTATCTGTACCTGACATGGCCACACAAGTCAGTAAGGGCACACATAAAAAGACGTCATGAGAATAATAGGAACCAGTTTTCTCATTATTAAAGAACAGAGTTACAATATGGAAAGGGGAAAGGACAAAATAAACTCTGTGGCATTCAATAATAATTAGAAGTATAAATATGAACTCATGGTTTTAGATAAATGATACATAGAAAGGAATACAATTAAAACCCATACATGCACACTGATATAAATATATGAATAAATAAATAAATGGTAGAGAAGGTAAGGCTCTTTCTTACAATACAATACCAACCAATAAACATAAAAAGAACATAGGAAACTAGTGGGCAAAAGTTTGAAGAAAAACAAGATATTTACACAAACTTAAAGTATCTGTTTACAGATTATGTATGAATTACAGTGGGGAAAAAACCCAGTAACTCTATAGTGGAGAAATCTAGTAGATTTTGAAACCACTTAAACTAAGTAATCAAAATTAACATCACCAATAATGGGACAACTGATATTGTGTGCCTCCTAATAAAAAGCACTTTGAAAAGGACAATGCATCACTTCTGTAGTCTTCTGGCTGAAGATGCATAACCTAAATCAAACCATGAGGAACACGGGATAAACCCAAATTGAGGGACCACCTATCAAATAACTGACCTGAAGTCTTCAAAAATATCAAGGTGAAGGGGCACCTGGGTGGCTCAGTAGGGTAAGCATCCAACTTTGGCTCAGGTCATCATCTCACAGTTTAGGAGGTTGAGCCCTGCAATGGGTGAGCTTGAGCCCCATTATGGGCTCTGTACTCTCTCTCTCTCCCTCTGTCTCTGAACCTCGTGGGATTCTCTCTGTCTCCCTTTCTCTCTCCCCTTCAGTCACTTGTGTGCTCTCTCTCAAAAATAAATAAAATGAAATAAATAATAAATAAATAAATAAATATATATATATATTTTTTTTTAATAAAAAATATCAGGAGCCTGGGTGGCTCAGTCGGTTGAGCATCTGACTTTGGCCCAGGTCATGATCTCACGATCTGTGAGTTCGAGCCCCACATTGGGCTCTGTGCTGACAGCTCAGAGCCTGGAGCCTGCTTCAGATTCTGTGTCTCCCTCTCTCTTGGCCCCTCCCCCACTAATGCTCTGTCTCTCTCTCTCTGTCAAAAATAAATAAACATTAAAAAAAATTTAATAAAAATAGAATAAAAAATATCAAGGTGTAGACAAAAACAGAGAAAGGCTGAGAAACTGTTCCAGATAAAAGGCAACTAAAGAGGCATGACAACTAACCACAATATGTGAACCTGGATTGGAAACTGGTCTGGGAAAAATTAGCTATAATGTATTTATGACCATTGATAAAATTAAAATATGGATACTAGTTACATAACATTATTGTATCAATATTCAATTTTCTAATTTTGATAATTATACCATAGTTATGTACAAGAATGCCTTTTTTAAGGAAATACACACTGATATATTTACAAGCAGAAGGGCAGATGTCTACACCTTACTCTCAAATGATTCAGAAAAAATAATACATAAATTTATAAGTAGAGAATGAAAAACAATTAGGCAAAATGTAAACACTTGCTTAATCTGGATAGGGTATACAGGAATTCCTTTAATTATTCTTGCACCTTTTCTGTAGATTTGAAATTATATCAAAAGTAAAAATTACCCAAAAATCACAGACACATGTACCTTGGGCCAATACCTATTGTTTTCTTTCCATACTTCTAGTTAATCAGCTTCCCCAAGTTTGGCCCTGTTTGGCTCCAGACTTTGAATGTAGCTCTCTATTTAGCATCCTGGATCATCAAATGAGTGTGGAATTTCCTATTCTAGCCTGACTTTGGTCCCCCTTCTAGATTTATCTCTCATTATTTTACCTTCAGCTCCAGACATCAAAACCACATGTAAGAGCAATACCAAACCATAACATCTCATCTGACCCCTGGGGTTCATTCCATCTACCATGGGCCACATATCTTCTATTTCCCCATTTTCTTTGTTTTTTCACTTGTACAGTATTCTGGATGTGTATCATTCATACCTCTTGGATTGATTTGAACTTGCTTGCTTCATAAATGTGAAGAAATCTATCATTACTTTCTAAAACTCCCACTCTCATGAGTCTGAAGGAACCAGAAACAGTCTCTGTAAATCTTTATGGACTCACAGTTCAAGGAGGTGCCAAGATTTTAAATGGTTTGGGAGGAGCTGGGGTGCCTGGGTGGCTCAGTTGGTTGAGCATTGGACTCTTGATTTTGGCTCAGATCATGATCCCAGGGTCATGAGATCAAGCCCCAAGTTGAGCTCCATGCTGAGTACAGAGCCTGCTTCAGATTCTCTCTCTTTCTGTCTCTCTCTTTCCCTCCTCCTCTCTCTCTCTCTCTCTCTCTCTCTCTCTCTCTCTCAAACAAATTTTTAAAAAATGTTTGGGAGGAATCATCATCACCCCTGATGTAGCTACACACTGCTTCCTTAAACAAACCGTCTAAGGACTCTTTAAACATAATTAGTGGGACTGGGGAAATCATTTTTCTTATGCAAGAAATAATCACAAAATGACTTTTCCAGGCCTGGCAACTGAAGATTTTGAATAATTGTGGGTTGTCTACTTAATCATAATAGCTACTATCTTACAAAGAAGCTATATGTCAGGAAATGTGCAAGATTCTTTATGTGTATTCTCCCTTTTAATCCTCACGCCAACCCTTGGGAAGTA